AGGTTACTGTGAGCTAGGCTGACGCCATGGCACTCACTCTAGCCCAGGCGAAAGAGTGAGACTCTGTCTCAAAAAAAAAAAAAAAATGCCAGTTTTCCTTCAGAATTGTTAATTATGGAAAGAGGCGTGAAGCTAAAAGTATAAATTACATTTTTAAATTTGTTCAGTATTTTAATCTAAGAGTACAGGATTAAAACTAAATTAAAGAGCATTTGGTTTTTTTGGCAGGGTTTCGTCATTAAGATTAGCCTATAAGGATCTTGAAATTCAAATGAAGAAAGATGAAAAGATGAACATTAGTGGCAAAAATAAAGTGGAATCAGAGAGACTTGGCATGGGATTTGGACATTGCAGAAGGTACGTGAGACTCTGCTTCCTTGGTGTTCAGAACGTGAACGGGTTTGCTAATCGTTAATGGATTTTCCTTGGACTGTGTCAATTCCAACTTTAGAGATATTTTCTTGTTATTCCTTACCTTCTTCAGTTGTTTTTGCTTTACTCGAGTATTCAGTATAGCATGAAAAGTTCCAAACTTGTTTCTTAGAAAAAAGGAGATAGGTGTGGCTCATCATTCAGCACACACCAGAGTGGGTGCCACAAACATCACCGATGCATGTGACTGCATTTTGGGTAATTATAGTCCTCACAAAGATTTAATATTTTTGGAAGCTTGTTCAAAGAAGTATTGTTTTATTGTTGATGCTTTTAACCCCACTAATAAATTTATCCATGTTCAGAATATAGATTAAAACATTCATTTTTTGGTGAAACAGAAGTCAGTATGAACCAACTGATATAATTCAAAATTTTTCTGTTTTATTCTGTTTTCTCAAGCACTATTTCACATTCAGTGACTTCAGATATGCAGACCATAGAACAGGAATCACCCATCGTGGCAAAACCAAGAAAAAAGTATACTGATGACAATGATGATTCATATTTTACTTCCAGCTCAAGGTAATCTATTAAAAATCATCATTAAAGTGTCATTTTGAAAAATGGTGACTAGTATTGACTTATTAGTTTATTTGCATCAGGAGCAAGTACAAATCAATTTACTTCATTGTTCTTAAAAGCTTTGGCTGGAGCCAAGACTGTCCTTTGGAATAAAAATTGGGGAAATATTTGTAAATGGACAATGTTTGCTAGTATTAAGATGTTTGATAATAAAATCAACTGAGAGTTAAAGTTAGAGCCAGGAGAGATGTGTTTATCTAAAATGTGAACTTGGAGAAATCTGAAGAATCATGAAGGTGTATATTAAGTTGTTTAGCCTTAGTCCAGCAGTTGAAATATTTCACAGTCATGGCTTAGGCTTCAGCAGATTTGTTTCCAAATACCAGCTTCAGGAAATTCCAGCTGGCAGGATGGAGTATTAAGTTAACTCCATTTGTGTGTGTATGTTTATTGATGAGAAATATGATTGCACTTTGAGGGGATCCCAGGAGAAAGCCTGGGTCCCTCTCCTTCAGCACTCACTCTCTGGTTGGGACAAGTTGCATAACTGTGGGTGAAGCCAACCATGGAGAGTGGCTCAGGTTCAAGCAGTCTACAGGGGCAGCAAAAACAAGTTTAAACTTGAATCCACTCACTCTGTGAGGTCCCCCCCAAGAACCTGACCACCCAAGGAGAGGCCTGCTAAAAAGCCACCAAATGAACCTGGAGCTAGGCACAGCTCAGGAACAGAGTATGGGCCCAGGGCCCAAAAGGCCTGCATTTGAATCTGGGCTCTGCCGCATAATGGCTGTGTGACCTTGGCCCAGTTATTTAGCCTCTCTGTGCTGCAGCTTCCTCATCTATAAATCAGGGGTCTGAACAGTACTTACCTAACGGGGTCATATAAGGATTAAATGAGATATGGCATTTACAATAGTGCTTGGCTCTTACTATTCTTATGTTTAGCTGCTGTTAGAGGAACTCAGTTCAAGACACATGTGACACATGTTTAATTACTATTGTTAAGTAGTTAAATTAACCACATTGTGACCACTTCAGGTCAGGAGTTCATGTCTGTCAGTCGCGGATGGTGCTGACCAGGAGCTTCCATCACTGACGTCTTGGAGGGCATTAGAGTAGTCTGGCAACTGTGTGGGCTTGAAGCATTTTCGTATGTACAACAGATACATAGGATAGACTTCATATATAGAACAGGTATAAATATAAATATATTAACTAGAATCTAATTGTGAAATGATATATATTCCTATCAATGTTTGTAGATAAGGGATTGTATAAAGAGTACTAGCCTTAAAAATTTCTCTAAGCATAGCTCCAGATTATTTCAAGTCCAGGTATTTTACCAAAAAAAAAAAAATGGAGTTCAGTGATCTTCCATGTCACTGGTTTTATATCTGCCTATCTTTTGTAACCTGTATAATGCACCAGGTTTCACTTTACTCAGAGGTTATACCCAAATCGTGCCTTTTAAAGTATTTAAATAGATTTTATACAGGCTTAAATTAAATTTATAGTTTGATTTGGAAATTCGTGCATGTCAGATCATTTCAGACATGAATATTAAACCACGGACTGAGTCAGAGGAAACTCTTGGTGGTGCAGGTCCGGTATTGGCGTGTTGTTCTCGCCACAGCCCTGAATGACCCTGGCCCTGACGGTTCACTGCTCGTCAGTGACTCCCGCACACGGTAGTGTAGGAAGGTGGAGAAGGTAACTCTGACTTTAAATCCTGGTGCTTGGTAGCATGGCTGGTCAGAGAAGCGGCTCCAGGTGGGATCACTTGCTGAGTGGCCACTTCCAGAGATCCTCACCGGCTCCAGGTCACCAACAGGCTCCTGTAGGGCTTTCTCTGCCTTTTAGGAGGTTAAGGAATCATTTAGGTTTCTCCTTCTTCCAAGGCTTAGTTAAAAGAGTTAGCCTTAAAGGCCTTTGCTACTATGAAACAGTTATTTACAGTTTGAAATCTGGGAGCAGATGGTCTTTTTAAATAGACCCCACTTCCCGGACTCTTGCCAGAGGGATCTTGCTGCATTGTTTCTCATGGCCTGCAGGTCGTCTAATAGGAACATAAATGCCTTCTCCAGCCCTACGTGGGAGGGTAACCACACTGGTAGAACAAGGGTACTGTTAGGTACTTTGGCAACTGAGGTAAAATAAACATGGACTCTGAAAGCAAGCATATTAGTTCCATGAAGAGCTCTTACTGCTTCCAAATTATTCATTAGCCCATTAGAACTTGAATGTTATAAATTATGAAATAGTTCTGCCTCTATTAAAAATAAGATCAAACATATCCTTGGGTTTTTTTTTATTGAGTTCCATTATTTCCAGGACATAAACAGTATAATTATATATTGAGTACAAGATAATGAAACTAGAACAATGTGCTCAGCCTTATAAAGTCAGTGTGGGCTTCATTGGAATAGAAAACTGCCTATAGCAGTAAATCAGATATAATGTGATATTAGAGTGCTTTTATCAAGGGATTTTATGGAATGTTTTCAGCGTTGGATGAAGACAGAGTGAGAAGGCAAAAATAAAAGTACAAATGTATTGAGGATTAGGATCTAGAAATCAAAACATTAGAAAGTGAATAAAGGTTTGGCGATGGGGAAAGGCTGTTGTGTTTCCGAAGAGGGACTAATGGCCATTCAGTGATGGCAGCTGGAGGCCCGGCTGGGGTCTGTCTGTCCCCTCAGTGAGTCGCTGGGTGCCTCCTGCATGGTGCAAGAGCAGAGAGAGCCTCCTGGGTGAAGGGTAGGAAGGGAGGGCCCCACCCAGCCCATGCACGGGCTGCCGCCTCACAGCCTCGTCCTAGTCTGGAGGGTGCAAGATGGCTCTCTCCTTCTGACTTCTGAATGGTCCAGTCATCCAGTCATTTAAAAATAATCTGATGCCTCTACATTCTAGGATAAGCACGGTGGCTTATGTAAATGAAGAATGATATTTTCTTAGAATGATGTTAAATCTGCAAAATTCTAAGTGCCAGAATCTCAGAGTTGTGAAGAACCTAGAAGTTCCAACCCACCCCCACCCTGCACCAGGCCAATACTTGCACCACCTCTGCACCCTCCAGGGCCGTCCAGCTTCTACTGGACCCTTCCTTCTCCTCAGGGCAGCCATTTGGTCCCTGGGAGGCTCCATGAGAAACGCTGCCTTGGACTGACGCAGCTCCCTGGGCTGCTGCACTCACAGCAGCCTCCCTCCCATAAACCAGTTTGCAAGCCCTGTGCGGGCAGAGACTGAATGTCCTTG